ATCCGAGGTCAATCCGAAGCATTGAGCAAATTTCAACCACGCAGTTACAATATGGGAATTAAAAAATCTGCTTTTGAACAATTGGGTGGATTTAAACCCATTCGGTTTGGCGAAGATGTTGATTTAAGCCTTCGATTGTGGGAAAACGGATTTCAAAGCCATTTAATATCCAATGCTTGGGTATACCACAAACGACGGAATACCATTCGATCGTTTTTCAACCAAGTGCATTCGTTTGGTCAGACACGCCCTATACTGGATGTTTGGCATCCCACTTATGCCAAATGGACTTTTAAAATGCCCGCCCTGTGGTCAATGGGTTTGATTCTATCGCTGCTAATGGCTTATTGGATTGCGCTGCCTTTGTTGCTTTATTGGGTATACGGCATGGTGGTGTTTGGGGTGGCTTACAAAACCCATGACCTACAAACGGCCATTCAGTGTGTGTTGTCCACACACATCCAACTAGGCGGATATGGTTTGGGCTACATTCGATCTTGGAGTAAACTTCATTTGTGGAAAAAAAGTCCAGCATCTGCTTTCCCTAAAATGTTCATCAATCCATGACCCATTTAAACGATTATTTTATCCCCCACCAAGGACGCGATAGTTTGGTATCCATCATCACGCCCTGTTACAATTCGGACAAATACCTTTCCGACACCATTGATTCCGTTATTCGTCAAACTTATCCCCATTGGGAATGGATCATTGTAGACGATGCCTCCAGCGATCAATCCACCAACATCATAGAATCTTTTAACGATTCTCGAATTTGTTTAATTAAAAACGCCCAAAATCAAGGCGCTGCCGTGGCCAGAAACATTGCCATTAGACAAGCCAAAGGACGGTATATTGCCTTTTTGGATAGCGACGACCTATGGTATGACGATTTTTTAGATATTACCTTGCGGTTTATGCAAACCCACGAGTGCGAATTGGTATACACTTCTTATGCTCGGGTGGATGAGGCATTAAACCCTTTGTTAAAAGATTTTATTGCCTTAGACAGCATTAATTATAAACGGCTGCTTTATAACTGCCCCATTTCCATGCTTACCTCCATATACGATACCCATCGAATTGGCAAAGCTTTAATCCCTGAAAGCGTACCCAAACGAGAAGATCACGCCATGTGGCTCAATGTTTTACAGAAAATACCCATGGCTCGAGCCATTACAACGGTTCACGCCAAATACCGAATTCGAGAAAATTCTTATTCTCGAAATAAATGGGACATAATGTTAAAGCAATACAATGTTTATCGATCGTATTTAAAATTATCTATCTTTGAATCGCTATATTACACTTTTCACTGGGTGATTAACGGCCTTAAAAAATATGCGAAATTTACTTGATGAGTTGTTTATTTATGGGTTTAATGACAATCATTTTAAAGCCCTCTATTCATTTTTTCTAAGCGCTGTTGTGTTTCTTTTTTTATTCCCTTATGCCTATAAAATAGCCATTCGAAAAACATTATTCACCAAGCCAAACCGTCGAAGTTCTCATCAAAACCCCACCCCATATATTGGCGGAATTTTAATTTTTCTATGTTTTTTAATCAGCTTATCCGTTGTAGCGCCACAATTATTGGTTCAATATCCATTTTTATTATCTGGAATTACCGCTTTTTGCGTTATCGGGTTCATTGATGATGCATTGGAAATATCGGCCTATAAAAAATTATTCATTCAATTGCTTTTCGCTTTTATTTTCATTGTCATTGGAGGCATTAAAATAGAATCCTTTAATGGTCTTTTTGGAATTTACGAACTGCCCGAATTTTTAAAAAACGGATTCTCTATCTTTGTCTTTTTACTGATTATCAATGCATTTAATCTAATAGATGGCGTCGATGGATTGGCTTCAGGATTAAGCATTGTTTCCTTTACAGGGTTTTTGTTTATATTTTATCGACTGCATTTTTTTGAATTTGGGGTGGTTTGCCTGGCTTTTATTGGAGCTTTATTATGCTTCATCTATTTTAACATCTGGAGTCGTTTTAAAATATTCTTGGGCGATTCAGGCTCTCTTTTATTGGGCTTTTCTTTGGCTTTCTGTACCATTTATTTTTTAAATGTGTCCCATTACCCTTCGGTTTTTATTCCTGCGGCGCCTTTAATCGCCATGGCCATCATTTCCATTCCCCTCATAGACACCTTTGGCGTTATCGCATTCAGGGCCATCAAAAGACAGCCCTTGTTTTTAGCAGGAAAAGATCATTTGCACCATCGATTGCTTAATTTGGGACTTAATCATAAACAAACCACATTGGCCATGATTTTGGCGAATTTTTTAATCATGATGGTTTGTTATTTGCTGCATGCCTACAATATTAATTTTATTTTCATGGTATTGGTTTTAATATCATTGATGGTATTGTTTGCTCCCAATGCATGGCTATTGATTCAAAAAATCCGACGCACTGCAGTCCATGAAAAATAAACCCTTAACTTTGCCCTAAAATATAGTTGTATGACGTTAAAACACCTTCTGTTAACTTTTATTTTGGGGGTTGCTTCAATCTCTTGCATTACCAAAAAACAATTGACCTATTTACAAAATCGAGAAACGCCTCTAATTTATAACGAAAAAGGGTACATTACCGATAGTACCGAAATTTATTTAATTCAAATCGACGATGTTTTATCGGTGGTTTTGTCTTCCAAAGACCNGAACTCCTGAAAATTGCCGAACTGGACGACAAAAATCGGGTGGCTTATAATACCATTAATTTTATCAAGAGCCGTTTGACCGATACCAAAGAAAGGTTGGATAAAGATGCTTTTAAACTACAAGATATTAAACAAGAGGAGCGGATGTTTAATATTTCATCCAATGGGGTGAATGTGTTAAGTCAAATAACGCAAGGGGAGTTGACTATGGTTCAATTGCAGGAGAAGCTCAATGCTTTAAACCAAATTAGCAATGGTCTGAGCAATTCATCGGCCGAATGGCTCACCTTGTTATCCATTGACCCAAACACCAAAGAATTTGGCCACATCTTTGACAAACTTAAAGAGCTGGAATACCTGAAATCCGAAAAATCGAGCATTTATCAGCCCGACTCACCTCCCATGATAGAGCTTGAGAAGCGCATTCAACGGATTAAAAATGAAATAAGCATGCTCACCCAGCAAAACAAAAGACTCATTAGTGGTCAGCTGGAAAAAGAACGAATGCTTAATAATCAAGCCTATCAAAAACTGCAACAATTGCCCAAGGTTGAACAGCGAATCATCTATGCCCAAAAAGATTATACCATAAGCGATAATGCCTATAATAGCCTCATCACAAAAATGTCGGAAGCCGAATTGCTTATAGCCGCTAATGTATCCGATGTTGAAGTTATCGATTTGGCAAGAAACATTCATCAATCGCCCATCTATCCCAATAGACGAAACAATACCATTATTATTTTGGCATTTTTCATTCTCGTACCCATCAGTATTTTTATATTAATGGAGTTTTTTAATGAAGACATTCGTACCATTGAAGATGTGGAACGGGCTTCTGAATTTCCTTTGGTGGGTATATTGGGTAAAGGAACCGAGAACTTAATGGTGTTGCATAAACCCAAATCGTATTTATCCGAAGAATTCCGAAAACTTCGGTCCAACATTCGATATCTCAATCCAGATTTGCCCAAAGATGGTAAAATTATACTCATCACATCGATGAATCCTGGAGAAGGGAAAACTTTCACCTCTATGAATTTGGCATCGGTGATTTCTATGAGCAATAAAAAAACCTTATTGTTGGGGATGGATCTTCGTCGTCCTAGAATATTTTATGATTTTGGCATATCCAATAAAATAGGATTAACCAACTATTTGGTAATGGATAAAACCTTAGAAGAATGCATTCACAAAACCAAATACAACAATCTGGATATCATCCCATCGGGGCCCATTCCTCCCAATCCGTCAGAACTGATCCTAAGCACCCGCATGCAGTCATTGTTATTGGATCTTAGAAACCATTACGATTATATTATTTTGGATACACCACCCGTAGGCATTGTGGTGGATGCATTTGAGTTATTCAATCAGACCGATATTAATTTATTTGTAGTACGACATAATATCACTCCTATATCGGACATCCTTGAGTTTAAACATAAATTAAAAACCCAAAAAGCCAAAAATATTGGAGTGGTTCTTAATGAATATACCCCACCAAAATATTCTCTTAAACAGCGATATTACGGATACAATTATTATGACGATGAACCAGAAGACATCGTTAAAACACCTATACTAAGTCAATTTATTCAAAAAATAACCCTATTTTTAAAATAACAGCGTTACATTTGGGTAAGGCCTATGTTAAATTTATCCAATGGATTGTGTTGGGTTATGTCAATGCCGGTGCTAATCCATTGACGGGTTTGTATGGGATCTATGATGGCATCCACCCACAATTGTTGAGCCGCATAATAGGGCGATAATTCACGGTCGTATTTGGCCTCTATTTCAGCCAATCGTTCTTTCTTAGTGGCATCATCCAGCATTTCTTGTGAATTGGTCTGAATTTGCAATAATACTTTGGCCGCTTGTTGACCACCCATCACGCCTATTTTGGCCGTTGGCCATGCTACTATGAATCTGGGATCGTACGCCTTACCGCACATGGCGTAATAACCAGCTCCATAAGCATTCCCTACGATGATGGTAAATTTTGGCACCACCGAATTGGCCATGGCCGAAACCATTTGAGCCCCATCTTTTATAATGCCGTTGTGCTCGGATTTGGATCCTACCATAAACCCATTAACATCTTGAAAAAAGACCAACGGCAAGCCTTTTTGATTGCACATTGCAATAAACCGAGCCGCCTTGGTGGCTGAATCCGAATAAATAACCCCCCCCATTTGCATTTCGCCCCGTTTGGATTTTACCGTTAGACGTTGATTGGCCACAACACCCACCGCCCAACCATCGATGCGGGCATAACCACATATGATGGTTTGTCCAAAATCGGGCTTATAGGGTTCAAAACTATCCTCATCAACCATCGAATTCAATATCAACTGCATATCATAGGCCTCGGTTCTGGAATTGGGTAAATTATGATATATCAACTCTGGCGCCAATGATGGATATTTTGGGGAAATTCTATTAAAATATCCATTGGGATTAAAGGACATCATGCCCATGGTTTTCCGAACCCTTTTCAATGCATCCAACTCATCTTTGGCCACGTAATCGGCCAAACCCGATAGTTCGGCATGGGTCTGAGCACCCCCTAACAATTGTTCATCAATGGTTTCGCCAATGGCGGCCTTAACCAAATGAGGCCCCGCCAAAAATATGGTACCCGAATCCTGAACCATAATAATTTCATCGCTCATGGCTGGTAAATATGCGCCTCCAGCCACACAGCTTCCCATAACCACCGCTATTTGGGTAATGCCTTGGGCACTCATTACGGCATTGTTTCTGAATACTCGACCAAAATGATCCTGATCGGCAAACACATCATTTTGCTGGGGCAAAAATATCCCCGCACTATCCACCAAGTATACAATCGGAATTTTATTAATTAACGCTATTTCCTGAGCCCTTAGATTCTTTTTGGCCGTCATAGGAAACCATGCCCCCGCCTTAATCATAGCGTCGTTGGCCACCACCACGCAGGGATGCCCCGACACATAGGCCACCACCACCACCACACCCGAAGCATCACACACCTCTTGAGTCGATTCCAAAATCGTATGGGCCATCATGCCTATTTCCAAATTGGGCTTGTCCGCATCGACCAATGCATTTATACGTTCTCTGGCGGTCATTTTACCCTTTTGATGCCAACGGTCTACCTTAGCTGAATGTCCCTGATTAATGGTTTTTATCTTAAACTGCAACTCTTTAATCAATTCCAATACAGCGTTTTGCGATTTAGAACCCATATTTATATTTTAATGGGCAATATACAAAAAAAAGCAACCTTGTTTCCAAGGTTGCTTTAAAAGATAGGTTACCCTTATTTTTTACCAAATAATCCGCCCAAAAGTTTGGACCCCATACTGGTTAAATCATCTACAACACTGCCATCTCCATCTTGGTCAATAAATTTACTCACCATGGACATGGCGTTGCCCTCTTTTTGAACCATTCCCGATACCATATCAAAAATACCAGAAGCGCCCACCCCTTGTTGATTTTGAGTTTTCCCTAAAAATCCAATTACCAAAGGAGTGGCCATGGCCAATATCGATGTGATTTTGGAAGGCTCTATGCCCAATTTACTGCCTATGGTTTGAGCCATTCCATCTTGTTTACCATCAAACAACATTTGCATCAATCCACTGGAAGAGCTGGCTTGACTTCCACCAATAAACCCAGCAATGTTATCCAACATTCCACCATCTTCTTTTTGAATGGCTTCTTGCAATTGAGCCGACGCCTGAGGATCGGCTGATTTTTTATTGATAGCCGATAATACCATGGGCAGTGCCATGCCTACAGCCGATTGGGCTTTTGACTCTTCAATGCCCAATTTTGAAGCCACATTACCCACAATTTGTTGGCCAATGGCCCCACTTAATAAACTTGATAAATCCATAATTTGCATAATTTTGTTAACATAAAAATACGTATTTTTGTTTAATCAACAATCATTCCATAAACCCATCATTGCCATGAAATATATTTTTTATTTATCCATTATTATCATCGGTGGTTTATTAATCACGCCTGCCTTCTTGCCCAAAGGGATTCATGCATCGGTAAAAAAATCAATGCCTTATTCAAATCAAACAATTTTTCATCAATTCAATCATTTAAAACCCTTTTCTCAATGGAATCCATGGTTGAAAAAAGACCCAAAAGCTACCATTGAATTTATATACCCTTATTACGGACAAAACGCCATCATTACTTGGGAAAGTACCTCAAAAGAAATGGGCTCTGGAGAAATTCAAATCATAAAATCCATCGCCAACACCGAAATTGTTTATCAATTAACTTTCAACCATTTGGGATCTAAAAACATTTCTAAAGTCATCATTACCCCAAAAGGACCCGATCAATCCATGATAGAATGGTCATTGACATCAAGCGATGCAGGTTATTTTAACCGATATGTAGACTATGTGGCCAAACCTTTTTTAGAAAAAGATTTAATGAACGGTTTGGATTCGCTGGAAATATTTATCAAAAACAATCCCTAAGGGCCTATTTAATCAAATATTTCGTTAAAATTTAAAGACTCTAATTACCCCAATATCCGCCTAGCCGAAACGAACCTTGCCGACCAATACGGTTCATCCAAAGACGATATGATAACGCCTTTGGATGTAGAGGCATGGATGAAATAAATTTTACCGTTTTCAACCCTTTCCACCATGGCGG